AATTTCAATACTCCCCCTTAAACTTGATTTTGTCAACCATCCCGAGCTTCGAGCGAAGTAACTCAAATTGGCCCTTTGGTAGTGACTTGGTGAAGATATCTGCAACGTTGTCTTCGCTTCGAACCTCCAAAGCTTCAATTGTTCCATCAAGCACCTTCTCCCGTATGAAATGATGTTCTAACTCGATATGCTTCGTCCTTGCATGAAACACCGGATTATTTGCCAACTTGATAGCACTTTGATTATCTCCATAAATTGCAACCGGCTTATTTATTGGCTCCAACAAATCTTCAAAGAGTCTTTGAAGCCATATACACTCTTGAGCTGCGAGTGTTGAAGCTTTATACTCCGCTTCAGTGGTAGACAATGACACTGTTGCTTGCTTCTTGCTGCACCACGAAACACTTGTGTCTCCGCATAAGAACACATACCCTGAAGTTGATTTTCGATCATCTAGATCTCCACCAAAGTCAGCATCCGTGAAACCATGAAGAGAAACCTTGGCATTGTACTTGTACATCAGACCCATGCCAAGAGTTGTCTTTACATACTTCAAAATCTTCTTTGCCGCTTCTAGATGTGGCTTCCTTGGTTCTTGCATAAACCGACTTACGAGACCCACCGCGAAGGCAAGGTCAGGTCTTGTAATGGTTAAGTATAGAAGACTTCCTACAAGAGAGCGATAAGGTCGAGGATCAGGTAGCAAGGACCCTTCATCGCGTTTAAGCTTTATGTTCACGTCTATCGGAGTAGTACGTGTCTTCCCTTCGTGTACTCCGAACCTTTCAACAATCCTTCTTGCGTAGCTTTGTTGGCCGACAAATATTCCATCATTTACCCTTTCGACCTCCAAACCAAGAATAATTGTTCAACTCACCCAACTTCTTCATCTCAAACTTCACCGACATATCCTCTTGTAGACGAGCAATTTCAGCATCATTATTCCCGGTGATGATCATATCATCCACATAAAGAAGAACCACCACGTGGACTCCTCCATTCTTCTTGGAGAATAAACTCGGATCAGAATTTGATGGCACATACCCGCAAAACTGAAGGAATTGAGCAAGCTTTCCATACCAAGCTCGAGGAGCTTGTTTTATCCCGTACAAAGCCTTTTTAAGCTTGCAGACATAATCAGGATGCTCTCGTGACTCGAAACCAAGCGGTTGCTCCATGAAGATTTCCTTATCAAGCTCTCCGTATAGAAAAGCATTCTTCACATATAGTTGCCATAACTTCCAACCAAAGCTTGTGGCTAAAGATAAAAGTGAGTGTACCGTAGTCATCTTTGCCACTGGACTAAAAGTTTCATCATAGTCTTCTCAATATTTTTGAGAGAACCCTCGAGCAACCAACCTTGCCTTAAATCTGTCAATGCTCCCATCCGTTTTTCGCTTAATTCGGTACACCCATTTACAAGAAACGGGTTGGACATCCTTGGGTTTTGGAACCAAATCCCAAGTTTCGTTCTTCATGAGAGCATTCATCTCCTCCTTCATTGCGGCCTCCCACTCTTGAACTCCTTTTGCTTCATCATACGATGATGGCTCCTCTTCATCTAATGGAGTTGCAAAGTAGCATGAATAAGTAGTGACAAACCTTTCATCTCTGAACCGCGCAGGCTTAACAATGTTCCTTTTTGGCCGTTGATTAGCCATGGAACTACGATCTTCTTCCTCATCTTCCTCTTGATCAGTGCTCCCCCTTTCACCTTGCGTCTCTTCTTCAAGACTTCTGCTTTCACTTGGCATTTGAACAACTGATTCATCGATCTTGGAGGAACCCCCACCTTCTTGTTCGACCAAGACTTGAGGTGGCCCATAAAATGAGGAAACTTCATCAAAGACAACATCACGAGACACGGTGTACCTGTGTGTCTCTGGATCCATACACCTCCAGCCCTTCCTTTGTTCATCATAGCCGACAAAGATGCATTTCTTCGCCTTTGCCTCCAACTTGGTTCTTTGAGAGTCAAACACGTGGACGTAGCAGATTGATCCAAATATCCTGAGATGTTTCACCGTTGGCTTCTTCCCATGAACCATCTCATAAGAAGACTTCATATTGTTCGGACTAAGTGGCATCCGGTTGATGACATACGCTGCACATCTCATGCCTTTCGCCCATAAGGCCTTAGGCAAATTTTTGTCATGTAACCAGCTTCTATATGTCTCGCTTAGATGTCTTATCTTCCTTTCCGCTACTCCATTTTGCTAAGGTGTATATGGACATATAAATTCTCTCTTGATACCATGTTTTTGGCAAAAAGAGAGAAACTCCCTTGACATGAACTCCCCTCCATTATCCGTCCTTAAAGTCTTGATCTTCTGACCTAATTCTCCCTCCACGGTAGCCTTGAATTCTTGAAACTTGGAGAATACTTCTGATTTTTCCTTCACAAAGTATATCCAAGTGTACCATGGGAAGTCATCAACAAACAGTAGCATGTACCGAAACCCAGAATAGGAGGATGTTCTCGTCGGACCCATCAAATCACTATGGACCCTCTCCAACGGAGCGCTGCATCGTGAAGTGGAGTTGTCAAATGGAAGCCTATGTGACTTTCCATATTGACAGCCTTCACAAAGCTTTCCTTCATCTTGATTCTTCAACTTCGGAAGCCCGTTAACCAAATCCTTATTCACCATAACCTTTAGCTTAGTCATATTTATATGACCAAGCCTAGCATGCCATATAAAGGCATTATCATTCGTACTCATCTTCTCAACATAAGAATTTGAGGCCGATAAAACATATAAATCCTTAACCCGTGCTCCGGTGTGAACCACGTCCGTCTTTAATTCTTTAATATTCTTTAAAAATTTAACGTCTCTTGGGCCAAATAAAACGTAGTTACCTGAGTCAACCGCATTCACCACAGAGAGAAGATTCTTCCTTACTCCAGGAACATGATATACGTTCTTGAGAGTGATTGGGCTTCCATCATCTCCTTCAATAACTATTGTCCCTTCCTTCTCAACGCGGTGGATTGAATTATCCGCAGTAATGTTGGCTTTTTTTCCGTCATGACGCTGAAGACTAGAAAATAACTTCTCGTCTCCGGTAATATGATGGCTACAACCAGAATCCACAATCCAATTATTTCCAAGATTTTTAGTTGTGGATGTACCTGAAGATGCAGCCTCCATCGTGAAACATTTTCCCCATTCTTCGTCTTCAGTATGACCCTTTGATTCCGCCATATTTGTTTCCTTCAGCTTGACTCGACAATCCTTTTTGAAATGCCCAAGTTTTCCACACCGATAACACTTGAATCGCTTCTTGTCTCCCGTAGAAGATCCTTCTCGTCCATCATTATTCTTCGCTCCGCCATCTTTGGGTTTGGCTCTGAAGCTTTGTTGCCTCCGCGCTACAAAAGCGCTCCCCGAGTCATCATGGACTTTAACTCCCGCCATTTGCATGGCTAGTGATTCTTACGAAGCTAGTAGATTTTCGAACTCCTCCAAAGAAGGTTGTGTAGCCCATCCTTGAATGGAAGCAACAAACGGTGTATATTTGGGTCGTAGACCACGAATAATAGACCGTTTCAATCGTGCTTCCGAAATTGACTCTTCCGGGTTTAGAGTATTAATCTCAGAGCAAAGATTTTTTACCTTGATGAAAAACTCTGAGATTGAAGACTCCCTCTGCTTCGCATTCGCCAACTCGTTTTCTAACAATTGTAGATGAGCCTCGTTCTTCTTGTTGAACAATTGATCTAGCGCCTGCCAAATAGCACTTGCGGATGTACACCTTGAGACATGCTCAAATACTCCCGCAGATATTGACCTCTTCAAAGCAAACTCCGCCTTGGCATTCTTTCGTGTCCACTCCTTTGTCGCTTCCGTTGTTGCAGCATCTCCCCTTGGTGGTGTTGTGCTACTACCGCCGACGACATCCCATAAGTCCTCACTCACCAAGTATGACTCCATACATGACTTCCATAACCGGTAGTTAGATTGGTTTAAGATCTCCATTCTCAATCCAACGACACGACCCATTGATTCCATACTTAGAGTAAACCCGAGTTCTCTTTAAACCCCGATCTTGAAGAGCACAAGATTAGAATGGCTCTGATACCATGTAAAGAAATCACCGATAGTGCTTAGCACTAGCCCAAGACCGTAATACCCGAGAAACCCGAAAGAAACCAAGAGAATAAACCTCTAAGTATGAAGAAGAATATGAAGAACACTTAGAGAACACTTGAAAGACTTTTAGAGAAATGTAGAGAACTTATGAAGATGAAGACTCTTTATTTGAGCTTGCTTTATTCACTTGTTCAACTTTTTCTTCTTGCTTACAAATGAGAGAGGTGAGGAGGTATTTATAACCTCCCAAAGATATGTTACAAAGGATCTAGATTCTTCTAATATCACCTCCATAGTTCCTAGATATTTTTCTAATCTCTAGAAATTTCTACATAATATCTAAATATTTTTATCACAAATTATCTAGATGTTTCTATACTATTATCTAGATATTTAGCTTAAAGATTTCTCTAGAACACTTTAAGGAGGTGATCAACCTTCTAGAGTGTTTCTAGAAAACCTCTAGAATTTGGACCTAATTTTGGGTTTGGTCAAACTTAGAATAATTCCATCATAAACCCAAAATTAAGCTTGATCCAAAATCAAGTTTAATTTCAATATCTATGGCCTGCATATACTCAGGTTACTGCTCTTTATGTCAATTTTCCATGAAAATTATTGGATATAATATGAAGGGTGTCCAGTATGATTATACAAGATTCATTCCTCATATCATAAACAATTTTAACCATCATATGATACATTTCTACACTGCATCTCTGGAGATCAATATTACATTCGAAATCCTTGAATTGAAATGAAATGTTCAAATTATGACAGAAACCCTAAGATTGAACATAAGCGGATAAAATGAACGACAAATGTAAAAGGTTTGTAACATTCACTTTGTTATTTCGTGCGAGGATAATCTATTGATTAGTGAAACAAAGGAAGACTCTACATATGCATTCAAAAGAGCTTTCATTTTTCAAATACACTTAGCCAACACAAAATAAAGTACTTCCATCACCAAGGAATAAATCTTATGTAACTAAATACTTGTGTTAATTATGCGAGATACATGACCAATGGCACAACCCTGCACCAATGCTTAGAACATGAACAATGAGTAGAATCGAGACTGCAGAATACTAGCAAAACTTTTGAATCTTTAATGTCATCACAAGCCATCATCACAACGTCATTTGAAAAACTAAGTTCTTGAAAAAATCGCAAGCTTCTTTTCAAGCTCAGATTTGTTGGCTCCGAAAACTTTATCAAGTTGATTGCCACCTTTCAAGAAAAAGAAGGTTGGAACTGCACGAATATCCATTGATGTACTAAGCTCCTGCAGTGAAAAGTAGCATGACTATAATCGTGCATAAAAAGGCATAACTTTAGTGAAGCAAAGTGACTCAAGTAAATCCCAAAAATTTTCAATAATCAAAACTTCTGTGATCTTCAGATGATTTATTATTATTATTATTATTACAGTTTTATTGTTTTGATTCATTTCTTGGTGAATCCAGTTGTGTTCTTGGATTGACCGATGGTCTTTAACGTGCTTAACTGTTAACTTTCTGCTAACCATTGAGAAAATAATGCCTATATCATTCTCTTAATTATATTAAGACAACTCTTGCATCCCAAATGAAATACGCAGTTAGAAAAATAAGTGCACCAGTTTATGGAAACTAAATTGCGTAAATTGCAGTTTGTTATGCTAAGCCAAACAGAAAATAATCACCAGAAACACATCCAATATTTCTTTTTCAAAGCGGTACTGTGTATTTTGACTCTTATTTCTATATTTTCGAAAGTCATCTCTGACTCTAGATATCTGCTTATGTTCTGTTTTAATAAATTTTATTTCCTCGTATATTTTTACTTTCTCCATTTCAGCATACTTTTATTTTTGTTTCCTTAAACTCTGAGTAATAAAACAACGGGGAATATATGTACACAGACTGTATTTTCTCCACACAAAAATGGAGCAGAACAAGAAAGAATAGGTGGTACTTACTGACAATTCATCAACATCTACTGTAAGAAAAGTGAGTGATGGGTACTTGATAGATTGATCAGCATACCAAGAAGATATAATTTTGCAAGGAGCACACCAATCTGCACTAAAGTTTGCCAGAACCTGAAGTAGCCAAGAAATTTGTAAATAAAAAAACAGAGAATAGCAATATAGGAAAAATTAAGTAAAAGGAAGCATCAGGCTCACACATTATACAAAAAATGAATAAGGATAAAACTCTGCTTCTTGAGATAAAATAAGCAAACATAAGTGATACTTACTACATTTCCATCCTTGTTTGCTTCTGATATCTTCTCAGCCCAGCTTTCCATATCAGATATATACCATACATTTCCACCACAGAGATGTAATTTTTCGTCGAAATCTGAAGGACCAGTATCCTAATGAAAGAATTCATACGCTTGTCACTCGTAATAATGAAAGTAGAAAAGAAGGATAAATTCAATTTTCATCAAGCAAATGCTTGCAAAAACATGCACTTTCCTTTTTTCTTGAATAATAGATATACCTTTATGCTAAATTGGATAATGTGAGAAGAAAGATTGTCACTTTTAGATGATTAACACAGTGAATGTGGAATTGTCAAATGCAAAAGGAAGAAAGAAACAATTAAGTAGATAAATAGAAGTTGCGTTATGAGAGATGAGAACTTATAATACAGTACGTTCAGAGCAAAGTACTAAACCAAAGCATGTCATGATATAAATACAAAAGTTGCATATTATGAAAATTTTGTTTAACGAAACAAACCTTTCCAGTGCAGTTTCCCATAAATGATTAAAATCTGCACTCTAGATTAAAGGATCCTTGGTTTACCCTGAGAAAATAAGAAGCTCAATTAATCATTAAGAAGAAATTTTTTATCACAATTTACAGGTGACACGCCAAACATGGAAGTAAGAGTAGAAGGTAAAAGGTTTTAATATCAGAACCCAACACCCCACCCCCAACCAAAAAAAATAAAAAAATAAAAAATAAAAAAAAACACCAACTTTGGATAACCTCACAAGACTTTCAAAATAACAGAAAATCCTTCTTAACTTTAGGGGTTATCAGATACAACCCTGCCCCCTTCTAATTTTAAGATTTTATCAGAAAACCCCCCTTAAAATTTTAAAACGCAATTTTCATTGGAAAAAACACCCCATGTGTAACCACCCTCGTGAAATTTCGGTTAATGTTGTCAGGCGGGTTTTTTGGTAAAACCTTAAAGGAAATTTTTTTATAACTCCAAAACTAAAGGGGCTTTTCTGATATTAAGTTATGGGAGGTTATCTGATAATTGTCCAAAGTTAAGGGGGACCTTTTGATGTTTAGCCAAGAAAAAACACTATCATGCGCACCAACGCAAGAAAGTCGCTGCTGAGGAGGAGTGTTAAAGTCAGCAGCTCCTCCCCCACCTAACTTGCAACAGTAATCAACAACCCATGTTATAAATAACCCGCCAAGTGTTTGTGTTAGATCCATCACAGTAGCAAAGAGAGAAAGAAAGAGTGAGAGAGAGTGTGTGTATTTGTATTTGAGAGTGTAGTGTGTTTGTACCACTAAAGAAATAATAACAAAATATTTCTTGATGTTCACCACTCCTCTCAACTCAACAAGTAATAATAATAATAATAATAATAATAATAATAAACCCTATTTTCTTGCATAATTAAAAAAATGGGGAACTACATGATAAAAAGATTTGCCTCCCAGTTCCATCACTATAGGTTACTTATTCTTGCATAAAAATGCAATCTGAATGTGTGCATAATGGACCAAAATACATCGCTTGAATTCAAAATTAACTTTTCTCAAAAAATTCAATGCTATAACCAAATTCGAAAATGATAGAAATATCTATAATTTGCACACATATGATTTGAAAAGTTGGAAAGCAAAATTTCCCCCTTAGGAGCAACATGCACCATCATTGTTTTATACTTTTCTATCGAAATGGTGTAAGCTATCGATCACAACATAAAACCAATAAATCTAATGAAGTTTTGAAGATTACAATATCAACTTCTTTCTTTTAATCCCGCATTTCCACCAAATTCTTTCTTATTCCATGTTCATCAAACTCAACCACTTTAGAAAAAATAAATAAAGTTTGCCTTCAGAATTGTTCAAATAAACCTACCAAAAATCTAGTCTTTGACATTTGATCGAAAACCTCGTGTGCATGTGTTTGATGCCTCCTGTAGAATTCAAGAGAACATTTCAAGATACAGCATCAACAAGAACAATGCGCATCAACCTATTTAATGTTTTAACAAAATTGATTCATTTGAATGTTTCAAGATACAGCATCAGCAAGAACAATGCGCATCAAACTATTTATCAATGTTTAATATTTCATATTAATTTCAACAAAATAGTAGAATTGCAAAATCCTACAGCAAATCATAGGTGAAGAGTTACCTAGAACAAACCTAGCTTCTCCCTTTGGTAAAAAAAAAAGTGGGCGAAAATTTCCGACGAAGAAGGTAGAGAAATTAACATAAAAGCCGAATAAAGAAATAGAAAATTTACCTTACAGACCACCGGATAATTTCCTATTTCTAGTATCATCATATATTCAATGGCTGAGTTTAGGGTAGGAATTGACGATAATAGCCTTTCATGCTCATTTTACACCGGTGTGCCTCCAAATTAGTGGGGTTTTTTTTTTGCATCTATTGTTTTTCAACGAGCTGGAATATCATGATGTTGCCAGTTGTTCCGGTCTGTTTCCAACCGAACATAGAATAAAATTATTTCTTTATCCAATTTTTTAAAATCCCTCTAATCATTAGTGAGATTTTGAATCTCGGTTGCACTGATATATATCATCTTAAATTAAGTTTTTCTTATCATTACATCAAAACTCTAAAGTTTTATAACAAAAATTAAGGATTATAATTTTATATTAGTTCTAACAAAATTTATAACAATTTATTTTTATATTAAGTTTCAAGAGTATGTTACCGACTTCTTTTTGATTTAAAGGATGTGCGACAGGGATGTCAAATGGGTGGTTTTGATTGGGTCTTGGTTGGGTCATAAATGGGTGGGCACATTTATGACCACTTGACCATTTATGATCCATTTAGCATATGCTAAATGAGTCACTTCTCAACCACCCATTTATTAAATGGATGGTTCATGGGTGACCCAATAACTCATTCAGTTATAATTATGATGCTTCTATATATATGTAAGTTTCAAGGATCTACTTGCAAACTTCAGGGGGTTTTGGCAAACTTTCAGGGGGTTTTCTGTAAAGTTTTAGGGGGTTTTTTGCAAACTTTCAGGGAGGTTTTGCAAACTTTCATGGGGTTTTCTGTGAACTTTCTGGGGGTTTTCTGTAAACTTTCAGGGGGTTTTCTGTAAACTTTCAGGGGATTTTCTGTAAAATTTCAGGGGTCTTTCTGCAAACTTTCAGGGGGTTTTCTAAAAACTTTCAGGGGTTTTATGTAAACTTTTAAGGGGTTTTCTGTAAACTTTCAGAGGGTTTTCTGTAAACTTTCAGGGGGTTTTTTTCAAACTTTTTGGGGATTTTTTATAAACTTTAAGAGGGTTTTCTCTAAACATTTCTTTCTCAATTGAATCGACTACTTGGGAAAATTAGGACAGAATTGTGAGCAAAAGAAGCAAATGATGACGGGGCTGAGCAAAAGAAGAGATGGACTCGTAACAAGTCTAGTCTACTGTCTGCTCGGTTATTTAAAAAAAGCCCATACTTTGGTCATGTGTTAAAATTTTCAGAATACCGGAGTACCCTCAACATTTAATTCAGTTCTTCTTCATCTTAGGGTCAAATTAGGACAGAGCAAAGAAATGACAAAATATCTTCAGAAAACCCCACCCTGCACGGTTTATAGGGGTGCATTCGGCCCGGATACGGCTCGGATATGATGCTTATCATATCCATATCCGCTTACCCATCTCGGATACGGATACATATACGAAAATAGCTCGGTAAGAAAAATTTATAACCATATCCGCTAAAATCGGATACGGTTACGGATATACATGCGGATATATAAGCGGATACGCATGCAGATACAAAACAGATATGAGAAAACTAGATAGTATTGAGAAAAACATAGTTCATGTGATACAAAAGAGTTTATTAATATGTCCATTATAATTGAAAAGTTAAGATTAGACATCTTGATTATCAAAATTAACCACAAATTAATAATCTAAGAATCAAAACTATCGTAAGAGTATGACTAATATGTATTCGGATATTTCGGATACGGATACGGATATTTCACTACAAAACCATATCCGTAACCATATCCTATCGGTTATACATTTGAGTAACCATATTCGTATCCTAACGGATACGGTTACAGATATTTTCTCGGATACGGATACAACTCTATTTGATAAAAACATCCTAACTAAATTTGGCTCTAAAAACCCACGCACCACACATTCCATAAAAAATCCTAACTAAATCTTTTTGTTGTCTAAATTTGTCAACAAAATATGGTAAAAATATCACGTCCCACTCCGAGGATCTTAAAAATCCTACACCTCCTTTGCCTTGCGTGAACTGCTTTGAGAGAGATGGTGTTTTTCTTTCCTTTGTTCAAAATCCATGAGCTATGAGCGTAATTGTTCATTTCTTCATATTTGTTGTTGGTTAAAGTCTATTATTTTTTCCATGTTTGTTCTTAATTACAGAGTGTCCCCAAGTAATTCTCCTTGAAATTTTTTTATCACGCCGGATAACAATACACGCTCTCTTTCTCTCCTGTTTCTCGCGCAATAGACGTAAGTTTTGCAAATTACACTTGGCCGCACACGCATATATCTCCTGCCGACGAAGAATTGTGAGCGCCTATTTTTTATATTTATATATTCTTGAGGGTGTTTTTTGCAATTTTGCACATCATGTGCCCTTGCAATATCTAAACCTCTTGGATATTTTTTGTCAATAGTTTAATTAGCCAACTTCTCCTTCCGAACCTAACTTATACATATCTATTTTATCATGCCTAATATCTATACTATTATACGAAAAAATTTCTTCATTGCTATAGTTATTTGTCCTTCATGTATTTTTGTCTTCTTTCTTTATTATTTTTCCTCTTCCACGTCTCTCGGGACACTTCAAACAATAAAAAGTACTTTATACCAAGAGTCCTCCAACATAATTTTTTCCTTTTTTTATTCCTCAAAATAAATTCCTTTTTATTTTTATTTTTATTTTTATGAAGGTCTAAAGCGTTGAGTTTTTTGAGAAGAAGAATTTTATATGCTTTTGAAAGTGTAACTTTCGGATGACCATTGGATCGATACAAACTTCTTAATTTTTATATTATTTATTATTATAAAAAATTGTGTTTGCAGTACTTTGACGGAGATATTTAGTATAATTCAATGCTCAATATCATGTTCTAACACTTTTATTTTTGAATCTTAAAATTATAAGAATATTATTTTTGTACGTATTTAATCTTTAAAAATCAAAGTGAAAATTAAGTAAAACTTTAGGATATTAAAATAAAAATTTTATTAAAAAAGAATAACTTAGGGTATTAAATTAATGTATTAATGTCCGTTGCAAGCGCACTTGAGCAAATACTAAGAAATGATGTCGATACATCCTTTTTTTTTGTTATTTTTTGAGTACTCTAATTTTTTATTAAAGCATGTGTTTGCTTTTCGATGATATTCATTCACACACACATATCATACTCCCTTTTAAAAATACAAGTTCAGAAAAAAAAATTCATAGTCAATATTACCCTTAACTTTTTTTAAAATTTTACCTTGTTATTCTAACCTATTCTAATTATCATGTCTTCTTTGAATTTGTAATTAAATGATTTATCCTATTCATAATGAGACTTAATATGTTATTGGATAAAGGAGATACGTTTGATATAATTCAAATGAGAAAATCTTTCCATGTATTACCCTTAACTTTTTTTTGAATATCACATTGTTATCCTAATCTATTCTAATTATCTTATCTTCTTTGAATTGGTAATTAAATGATTTATTCTATTCATAACGAGACTTAACATGTTATTGGATAAAGGAGATATGTTTGATATAATTTAAATTCTTTACTTATTTTAATTTGTAGAGAAATCTAAAAAACAATGCTAGCAAGCGCCTAAAATTTTTTAAACTTTATGAAAAAATATCCTCCAAGTTTTTTAAATTACAAAAACACCCCTACAAATTCAATTTTTTATTAAAATATCTCAAAAATTATAAATTTTACTTATTTCAATTTAGTGAGAAATCTAAAAAATATATGCTAGCTAGAAACTTAAAGTTTTTTTTTACTTTGGAGAAAATATCTTGTAGGCTCTAAAAATTACAAAAACACCCCTAAAAATTCAAAATTTGTAAAAAACACCTTGAAAATTTTAATCCTATAAACACACTAAAAACCTACAAATAACACAATCAACCACCAAAAAATTATAAAATTTACAATAAACACTCTGAACTTTTTACAAGTTACAAAATAAAATCTTCAAAATTATAAAATTTATAAAAATCATGATAATTCTCAACCTAACTGTACATTAAAAATAGAGAAATTGCTAATATCCTCATACATAATTTATAATATATAGAAAAAACCCTTATAGTTTTAAAAATTACAAATGAAAACTCAAAATTCAAATTTTACAGAAAACACCCTAAGAATTTCAAACTCATTAGTAAATTGAAAACATAGGAATTATAAATAGTCTATAAACAATTTATAATCTATAGAAAGTGCCTATAAGTTTAAAAAATTATAAAAAGACCCCTAAAATTCATAATTTTCAAAAAACAATACTATGGGAATTTGTAACATGTAGACACTAAAATGAGTATACAAAATTACTAACAACCCTTACAAAATAAAAAATTTACAAAAAATATTATACTCTCTTTAAAAGTATATGTTTAGAAAAAAAATTTCATGGTCAATATTATCCATAACTTTTTTGAAAAGAACATAACTAATTAAAAATCTATTAAATTTAAAAATTTATAAAAAAACACCCTTAAAATCCAGTACATTGCAAATTACCCCTCCAAAGTTTAAAAATTTTTAATGAATTTTTGCAATTCTTTGATTTCAATGTAATGTTTAATAGTTTTGTGTATTTACAAATTACAAAAAACTAGAGAGCTTTTTTATAATTTTTAAAACTTTTGAGGGTGTTTCTTTTATAGTTTTCTAAATTTTTATTGTGTTTTTAGTGTAATGCATAGATACGTCAATTAATGATGATAATAAAGAGTAAGTTATTTTTAAGATGTATTAGACAATGGTTAAGTGCAAATCACTATTCCTAAGTAGTATAGTTTATATATGCAAATATTTTCATACAATCTATATAGTGGTTAAAAGGATTTTGACTTTAATGTACTATTTTTTATAAAATATATTTAATATGAACCCACCGTATAATTTTGACTGTGGTCATCATAATTTTAATATATTTGACTAATTGACTATATAGGTATATATGCCATAGATTACTTTACTTTCTCACATGAACTAATATTTGGTGCTTAATAATTTAAATTATTACATTTAAATTTAATATAAAGAGAAGCTCTAATAGCATTTATTTATTTACCTACAAGATAAAACAATCTCAATTCTTATTTTTTGCTTGAGATTTATTCCATAGTTACGCGTATCAAATTAGTAACTATAATGTAAAGTTAACCAATTTTGTGGAGCCCAACTACTGGCTATAAGCATTTCATAAACCAATATGTTCTTTATAATATATAAGCTATCCACTCTAAATTCTTGTGTCTTGTATAAACCTAAAAAGTTTGAATACAAGCCTCTAACAATTTTCTCTCACAACAGCAAAATTCACTTAGCATATGCGGATATTCCAAATGAGTTATATATCCTATATATAATACAATTGGCCTAGGCAAGTGAGTTATAATAACATTTGCCATTCACATCATTTGGAGTAAGATATGATAGGGACCTTGTAACAAAGGAAATTTTTTTTATATTTAGAGCACATGGCGAAATATATCGTAATCTCCTTGCTCTAATTTCATAAGAAAATATTTCTTTATAGTTTTAGTTTTACTTCTATGATATGAAGAATGTTGAACCATACCTTGATGGTATTATTCTTTGTAATATTTTTTAAAGAATAAATGTCAATCAATTCTTCAAGTACATGTTTTGCTCCTTAACTACTTCTTTGTAATATTTTAAAGGTGTTTGTAATTTGTCGTTTTACTTCAATTCGGTAAAAGTTTATTTAAAGTTTTATCACAAAAAACTTTGTTTCCTTTTTTATTTTTATTCTATTTTATAAATTTAAATAATCATATTATTCAACCACGTGCATTGCACGTGCATCTTAACTAGTATATCTAATCTAGTTTAATACTATTTATAAAAGTGTGTTGGCATGTTAAAATATTTCTTCCAAAAATGCCCTTTAAAACACATACATGCTTACATAAAACACATGCATCTATGCATAAACCATACCTCATACATACATAACCCTCAATTAAATGAATTATTATTCATTATAACCCTAAATAATTTCTTCATGACTAAGCTGTTTATATTTTTATAACCTCTCATTAACATATTAGTCTCTTATAATTCTCACTAATTATCACTATCATAATTTTGAAAAAAACGTTACAATCATTCATCTTCTTACTAAACCACTATATATAAATCTAATCTAATCATATTATTTATGATTTATCTATGGTAGAAAAATTACAGTATCAGCTATGGTGACATGAAAAATTATTATCATCATTTTACTATAATATTATTAATAGTGTGATATTGTACTATCTTAAATTTTTTATAATATATCATAGTAGCAAAATATAATTTCAAATTTTAGAATGGCATAATATATTAATTATAGTATTAATAATATAATATTTTAATATAATATTAAGAAGAGGAAAGGATGTTAATGGGCATACAAGCTTGGCTAGCTTGTTAAATTAACATAAACGAAGAAGAGAAAGAATGTTATAGCTCTGTATTTATAACCTCTCAGTTAAATACTTATGAATTTCCAATTCAGTCCACTCCATTAATCCTATTATTACTCACTAATTAATCAATGCATATTAGCTCTTCATTATCTATTCTAAATTTTCCATATAATTTCCATCATCCCACTAACTCCTTGTCCATAACTGAATATTAATTTCCCATTGATCCAAACCATGAATTGACTCTTAATTCATAAATTTTTAGTTACTAAGTTGCTTGAGAACAATAATCACATAACATGATCGAGTCGGTTACAAAACACATGGAAGTAAGAGGGTCTCGATCTCTATTTATATCTAATCTCACTATTTATATATTAAAATCCTATTCACCACCTAACTAATCCCTATTTATTGTTCTTTGTTCCTTACAGCAATATTGAGCAGATGAACTCAAGTCATCAAGAGAAAAGGGTTAGTTTTGTATGTATGTTCTAAGATGTTGATGAATAATTGATTAAGGTTCAAAAGTTTTAAATTAGGGGAGTCAATTTTAGTTCTTGTGATTAAAAAAAGTTAGTCTTAATTTTTTTTCCTTCTCATTTTAGCATTTTAAGATATCTCAAAAGTCGAAGATCCTGGATTCGAGCCCTTCAACTTCTCGAAGGAATCTCAGTCCTTTTTCATTAGGTTTTTTTTTCTTTTTCCTTAATTTCACATACTTTGTTCACATCCTTCAATCTCCTTTTAAATTTCAATTTTCTTTTCTTCAATCACTCTAGGAAATTTTCACAAATATAGCATGCTTAAATTTTTAATGGACTCTGCTAAGTATTTTTACCAAGTATGTAGCATGTGTATTCTTACTGATCGTATAGCATGCTTATTTCTTACTACATGGTGAACAAGTTGTTCATGTTGTGGGGTAACCAAAATAAGTGGAGAAGCATAGAAGATCTATAATGGTGTTTGTCCAAAATACGCTTAAAGCAGTGACTCGGGTTGGCGTGATTATTATTGCCTTTGTTGATACTATTTCTTAAATAACTTTCCCCCATGAAAACAGGGCTTAGACAACAATGATATAAATGTCCTGTCTTTTAGGTTCTACAATTTACTACTAATGCAACTATATGCACTAGAAAACATATAACCTTTGATACTGGTAATTGGTGGTACTTTATAGTATGGAGACTAATATTAATAGCTAATTTAATTATCAGTCTAAATGGTCACATTCGTTATTTTCTAAATATAAATTTGTAAAAACATTTGTACCTAAACTACAATTCGTCTAAATGGTCACATTCGTTATTTTCTAAATATAAATTTGTAAAAACATTTGTACCTAAACTACAATTCGTAGACATAGAACATTTAAATACCAAACTTTGTAAAAACATTTGTACCTAAACTACAATTCGTAGACATAGAACATTTAAATACCAAACTTTATACAGTCTGATCTTATAACAAATACTCTAAATATGATAGGTCAATTAAACATGAAATTAATACACGTGCAACACACGTGCTCCATACTAGTATTAAGAAAAGATGTTACAAGAGATGAAAGGACGCTCCGAATGGACTTATAGTAAATAAAATACTAGTATTTCTTGTGCACACTATGGGTGCATATATAATTTAAACTTTAGGTTAAAATACAATAAGAATTGGAGGGATGGATGAGTAAGTGGCGTATTAAAGATAGATGGTGGTGGTTGGAAGGGGAAATCATGGAGAACATGGAATGAATAAAGTTATAATGATTTATCTTTTGAGCTTTCCAAGTATATCCCTTTTATGATTTTTTTTGATAATTCATTTTCATGATTCTTAAAACTATGTACAAACTATAAGAATATTTTATGGAGTCATTTAAATTTGTGACTCACATAAGGGTATGACACACACAAAAAAAATCTCTTCTTAAATAATAGTAATAGATAAAAGGCAACAATTTTTTTTACAAAGAAAAATTTAGCTTAACAAAAATGTAGATGCAATGTATTGATTGCTCTACCATTGAGCTACATCCCCAACTAGTATTTGTTTAAATTATAATTATTATTTAAAATTCTATAATTATATAAATAAATTATGATTAAAATATAAATAAAATATAAAAGCCAACAAATTTTTAAAAAACAAGAATTAGCTTAGGGCATGTTTGGATAGCTCAAAAATATAGAAAACGCGTGGAAGAATTGGAAAGGTATCTGACACCACAATGTGCCACTTTCTTTTTCTAAAAAAGATAATTTTCTTTTGTTTGGACAAGACCAAATTATTGGAAAACTACTCTTTAGTTTTCCTTAAAGCGGGTTGATTTCCTTGAAACCATTTCTGAAACGGGGATGGAAATATGACAGTTTTATCAAACCCATTTTCAAACAATAAAAATATTTTCTACTTCATGGATTCCTTTTCCTATTTTGTAGAAAAATAACCAAATTGGCCCTTAACAAAAACGGAGATCCAGGGTATTGATCCTCGTACCGTTAATCTAACGAAGTTAATACTCTACCATTGAGCTACACCCCTGCTAGTAATTATTTAGAAGTTGTAATTTTATGAATAAATTATATAATTGTCCAAATCACAATAAAAATTCATACAATTCTTTATGCATATTTCATTTATTAGTACAAAATTTTAATTGTTTAATTTAAAAATTTATATTATTTTAAATTTTGCATCACCATTTTCCCATTAATGACAAAATTTCAAAACATGAAATGAGTACATCCACATGTAAAGCCTGTGTACTATATTTATAATCGGTTCTTGTAGATAGGAATGGGCAGCAAGCCGAGCTAGCCCATGCGAGATCAATGGAAAGACGAGCCAGCTCATGGCTCCATTCGCGAGCCTAGGAAAAAAGGGAACGAGACATGATATAAGCCGGCCCACCCATAACCTGTAATTTTTTGCTTTTTATTTTATTTTAAAATTGTTCTTTATATTGTCTTTTAGGTATTGTTAACACTTAAAAATTATGTTTAAATACAAAACTAACTATGTGACAATTATAAAAAATAGAAAAAATATTATTTAGTAGTTTATGAACATGAAGATCAATAATTTTGTTAATACTTTTATAGAATTACCTAAGTTATTTTAATATTTACAAACTATGCAACTTTTTTGTTGCCTATGATCAAATTTCAGTTCAACTAGTTTACAAATTATATAGATTCATGTTGATAAAAGTATTATCACTTTTGTGGGGAATAATAATGTAAACATTGCGGGCCCAACAAGCCGGGACGAGTGGCCTGGCCTGCCTAAAAGCGGACCGGCTCGCGATACCGACGCCTAAACGGGTAATTCTCCCACGGCGGGTACTTGGCTCGCGAGTGCCAAGCGCCCACCTCCGACTGGATCCCGTGCGATCCGAACCGCATCCGACCCGTTACGACCAAGGGAACAGCAAACAGACACAATGTCAATGCCACGTGTCATAAAATCCCAATAAAAGCCTCCTCTCGAGTTTCAACCAACGTGATTCTCATCCCCTGCGAACGATGGCTGCTCTCTCGCACTTCCCTTCGCCTTCTCCTCCTCCCTCTCTATCTAACCATCTCCTCTCTCGATCGAAGCCCCGAATACGAAACCCTAACCCTAATTTTATGACGATCGGCTCTAACCTCCGGGGATTCTCGTCCGCCGGCTATTCATACGGGAGGTCGGCCGCCACGCCTTCGCTCTCCCTCGGTGACATCACGAGGCGCGATTTCTCAACCCTCCATCAGGTCTTTTTCTTGATTTTCCCATGAATTTAGTTTGACTTCAGTTGATTTTCGGTGGAATCGTTTGCTGAGGTTTTTGAGTGGTTGTAGGCTGATAATGGATTCAATCGGGTGTACTTTGATAACGCGACGGCGTCTAAGAAGCCTGATTCGGTTCTCAAGGCTTTGAATGAGTACTACGAGCTGTATAACTCGAATGTTCATCGCGGCGTCCACTACTTGAGGTAGTAATTGATGTCGTGTTGTTAGTTGTCTCAATTCTAACGAGGAAATTTTTTGAATCGGAGTAGAATTAGATAATTTTATAACGTTTGATTGCTTTAAGGATTTATGTGGTAGAATATGGTTTTCGACCATCCAAACTACATCATGAAAGACATTTTAGTACTATGGTTTGTATTTGGACAATAGTGGATTTGCAGACGTGGATGCGCAAATGGATCTTGTTTACAAAATATTTAATCGTCCAAATTGATTGTTTTGTGAATTTTGGAGTTTTAGACCGGAGGTCAAGCTCCTATTAGCTAGATGAGAATTTAGAGTTCATTTGGTCTTCCCATTTAAGGATACTTCGTTTGAATACCATCATCAAAACTCGTCCTCTTGACGCGGCTTTGTTGGTGCATATACGTGATACTCTTGAACTTTCTGCTTATGGAATTCTGGTCATGCCCACTTAATATGTTTTTATCATCACTTTAGTTAGATGCACTGTGTTAGGCTACGCTTGCAATTTGCAGTTTCTATATTAGTGTGGATTCATTTTTGGTACCATAGAAAACAATGGAAGGATAAAGGTTATGGTGATTACTGTTGACCAGTGAGCAAGATTAGTTGTATAATGGTTTTTTTTGAGTTTCAGATTTCCTAATCCTTCTTTGATGCCTTTATAACAGTTGCAGCATCAATTTTATCAGAAAGATACTATGATGATTGAGTAGAGCTCTCTGGGTTTATTTGTAACTGTGTACTCTCTTTCCTTTCATCTTTTTAAACTACTTATGATCGTCATACAGACTGTAAAGTGTACTGAGCTCATTTATCACTATCCCTTGATTCTCTTTGTATGTCCTTCCAGCAAATGATTTTCATTTGAACAATTTTTCAAAACAGCCCCATTTCATTTTTTTTATTTTTAAAATCGACCCATTTTTTTTATTTACCAAAACCGACCCGTTTTTTGCACGTCAGCCTAATCACCCTCCTAAACAGTCGGGGTTGCCAACCCCGACTATTTAGGACATAAATTTTTAGGGTTTAAGGCTTCTAATTGGGGTTTAACACCCTCCTAAATAGTCGGGGTTGGAAACCCCGACTGTTTAGGAGGGTGATTAGGCTGACGTGGCAAAAAACGGGTCGGTTTTGGTAAATAAAAAAATGAGTCGATTTAAAAAAAAAATGAAATGGGGCTGTTTTGAAAAATTGTTCTTTTCATTTTTATTCAACACTTTTCCAGGTTACTCTTGTGCATTTAATTATAGAAGTCCAAAGAATTCTCATAAAGGAGAGACTTGGTTAAAGCTTTTAAGTTTTTCAAGGAAAATTACTAGTTAATACATCACAAGTAGTTATCTTCGAAGTTCGAAGAACATCTGCAAGAAACAAAAGTAGCCTGAATGCCATTACATAAGAAGTCCAAGTTAATCTGGAATTCCTAAAATTTTATGAAAAGTGAGCAAAGTGATGAGCAGCAGACTTTACTGCTTGTTTTCCCCTTCTTCTTTGCTTAGCCAATGATGAAGCATTAATTTGATTTAGTCTTTTCTTTTTCTGATATCCCCTCAGGGGTTGATCTTGTCACCACAAAATTGAGCTAAGACCTGTTTGATGTAACAAGGTAGGTTCATTATATCCTTTTCATTTGTGTTTGAACAGCTTTCCTTTGGTTTGAGAAGCTGCCCTCAATAAGAAGAGCACACATATCGGTTTCCATAATGATGATGAATGGTGCTTATTTTTTACATCTATACTTCTTTCCAGCTCCCTCCTGTGTCATCTGTTTAGAATTATGTCAAACAACTTCCTGTCAACTCAAAAACATTCTTTTATATTACAGCATGATATGGTTCTTAATCAATATTCTTCACACAGACTACTTGTTATGATTTTTTGTATGACCGGCTTGTTTTTTTTAACCTGCATAACATTGTGATTTTTAGTGTAATCATTTTTTTTTTGCTGAATCTGTATGACAATATCTAGAGTACATTGTAGATTTGAAATTTTAACTTCCATTTTGCCAGGTGTTAGTAAAGTTTTAGGTGCAATACTATATCACACATGCTTAATGTCTTTTTTCTGTTGAGATCAGTGCAAAGGCTACTGATGCATATGAGCTAGCAAGATCAAAAGTTGCAAAATTCATCAATGCTAAAGAATACAGAGAGATCGTGTTTACTCGAAATGCTACTGAAGCTATCAATTTGGTTGCTTATTCATGGGGTCTCTCAAACTTGAAATCTGGGGATGAGGTGATCTTTGTACAGCTAGTTATTTTAGCACTTCAACATTTTTTGTCCAAACCTTTTCAGTCTGCATATTATTTGGAAGTTGTTCTATTAAATTCCGGTTCCCATGCTTCTAGATATATAATTATAATTTTTTGTTATCTTATATGTTATTTTTTCTCAGATACTGCTTACAATTGCAGAACACCACAGTGCTATAGCCCCATGGAGGCTAGTTGCTCAAAGAACCGGCGCAACTTTAAAATATGTTGGTCTGAATGAAGAAGAATTTCCTGATATTGAGCAGTTAAAGAAACTTCTATCGTCACACACAAAGCTAGTTGTTACCCATCATGTCTCAAATACACTAGGTAGGTTTCTTGTTTAATCCGTTCATTAATTTTTTACAAGTTCTAGTTTTAAAGATTATTGTGCTTCTATTTCTTTCTTGTTAAAGTTCATAGATACCTACATCTTTGATTGTGAAATTTATACTTAAATTCACACTAAAAAGTGTCTATTTTTGGCAGTTGGTTCTGCATTATCAGTTATCATCTTTGCTTGGATAGGTGCATGTTGAGTGTTTCAGTGAAGTCTCTTTCAGTTATAATTATGGGTTGAAGTACACTAAAAATATTCTCTCTGTAGGTCTTATAGAAAAATCTGGAGTTACTGCAGTTCATTATAGATAATATATTATCTGCTCTTAGGGACTTCTGATTGCCTAAGTTTTTGGGGTAAGTTTTGTGAAAAAATTGATTTATTATAGTGTACTCTTAACATGATTAGTTCTAACTAGTAACTGTTTTTTTTTAAATTTTTGATAGGATCAGGACTCCTAATTAGTCTGAAATCCAACTAAAGAAAATGTAGTTCCACTAGGAATATTCTGAATGTAAAGATTTAGGAGTAATTGTATTGTGTCTATAAGAAGAGCAAGCACTTGAAAATTAGATTCTAATTGGCAAGAGTTGTAGTCCCTAAGGAGAGGTTCACAATATGTTTTAGAGATCTGCTCATGAAAACATTTAGCATCGACAAAATTAAACTGAGGCTAAATTACCAGATTGGAATCTTTTGTACACCTGCTTACCGATTTGGTATTATTTCTAGTTTCGACGATGTTTTGTTATCTTTTTCTAAGCTTGTGCAATTAGACTCAAAACTTTGCCGCTGACGAAAAAGAAGCCGTGAAACTTAATGTGATAGCTATTACTACTATCTTATTCATGAGGAAAGTGCTGGAAGACTATGTGGCACGTTGGTATAAGAATAATATCTTATGCCCAAGTTTATCCAAGAATGTTGATTCTATTTTAAGGATGTAAATTTTGGGACAAAGGGTAGAGTATGGTTATTACCTCCAAAAATAGTGAAGAGAGAGCTTGAGAGGCCAAAAATTGCTAAGAGGAAAGAGGTATCGTGGTTTTTTCACTGGCGACAAAGTTTTGGGTCTAATTGCACATTTTGCTCTGCAAAAAAAAAAAAAAAAATCAAAATGTCACCGGAGGTAGAAAAAAATATCAAATTGTTTAGATGGGTGTACAAAAAATACCAAACAAGTAATTTGGCCAGTAAACTAGTCTAGAAAAATTGAAAGCCAAAAATTTTGACGGAATAGGATGGGAGACATGGTTTTGCATTTCGAGATCAACCACTCCTGAGAACCTGGAAAGACAAAAAATGAGAGAGAGGGACTCATGTTAGAAGTGTATCAAGAGGGAAGCAAAAAACTTCTCTTATGTCTTGTCTTATAATCATCTAACTCGAAGGAAGCCTAAAAAGCAGCAAGAGCAAGGAGATATCCCACCCTCCAAAAGCTTTAGTTACATACTTCTTATATAGTGATATGATTATATCCAACTTCAAGGAAAAGTGGGAGGAAACTCTCCTGTCTATTGTGCGCACATTCTGGGTGGAGATGCAAGTTCTCCATTGTACACCATTTATCTCTATGTTTATGTTAAATGCTTTTTCTTATTTCAAATATGTGAAAAGTAGGTTAATTCAATGTGAGGACTAAGAACGATGAACAACATATACCAAACAAGTGAAGTGAGGGATTGCTCTATTGATGAAGGTGAGATAGTGATGTCAACTGAAGACGCACATATCTTCCTAACCCAAAGATGTGGAATTTGTGCTATGGGAGGAGATGGAGTTTTTCAAGGTTTGTCCAACTTTGCGGAGGCATGAAAGTAAAATAAAAGAACTCATCCTAAAAATTATTTATCTATACTACATATGAAAGAGGATTGCTATGTCAAAACTTTTGATTGCCTCTTTTGCCCTTTCAGTTTTGATAATTCTCAATTATGCCCATTATCAATTATATTTTTTATCAAATGATAAACTGCTAAGCCATGTTAAATAACTCTTTTGCCCTTTCAATTTTGATAATTCCTAGTTAATGCTATTATCACTATATAATGTTTAAATGCTAACCCATGTTATAATCAAAACTTATTAGCAAATGATTAAAGTAAAAAATAAAAATAAAACTAAACTATAGTTGATATATTAAAATTAAAATTATGTCAAAAACTATCATTCCTACTGCAATTGATTCTAAACTTTTATACTATAATCTTTATTTTTACTCATAAAATTGATTAAAAAAATATGGGAAAACTATCTCCACATGCGACTGACGTTCACTACACTAGTTAATAGAATTTTAAATTTAAGGAGTTTGTTGAAATTATTGTTGTATCTTAGAAAGGCGATGCAGGCGGAATTATATGCGATGGGGTTAGCAAGTACTCGATTAAACCTCTTCTCCATCTGTATAATTCATGCAATTGAGTGAATATAATGACACTCGAGGTATTACCTGTGTATTAGTTCTTTTTTAGTTACTATTATTTACTACGTTTGATATGCATTCATATCTAAATTTGAAGTGTGATGAAATTTTACTAAGTTTTGCCTTATGGAACTAGAAGGTGGAAGACAATAGTTGAGTTGTTGCTTTTTAGTTTTATCCTTAGTATAGTTACAGTTTTACAAATTCTTAAAGGTTTCAAGATTCAAGTTATAACAAAAGCTTAGCAGGGTCTGGATATTATGAATTAGCTTTTGGGACTGAATTCATCTTCTCGTAGTGAATATTTTTCCTGGACAATTTTATTTTTCTAATGGATATTATGAGTACTCAGTATGGACCCTTGCCACCCATGTTTGTCGACAATTAAAAGCTCCATCCTAATAACATCTTTGTATTTTCTGATCTGCTCACTATTTACACATTTGATGAACCATATCATTTCATATAAATGTCTGAATTGGTGGGTCTCTTATGCCATTGTATTCAAACTTTTAGGAAGTGGTAGTTTTGTCTAATCATGGGAGCATGGGCGCGTACACACACAGATACATGCATGCATGCATGCATGCATGCATGGTGGTCATAACCCTATTTCTAGTCTTCCGTTTAGTTAGCAGAAAATCTGAAAAGTCTCTCTCCATGTACCTCTTTCGCTTACATATCTCCAAGTTTTTAAACTTGAGAATGGGGTTCTTATTACTGCTTGATTATGCATTTATTTATTTAAATTTTTTCATTGTTATATATCTCACATATTAAGCAATTCTTCTTGGTGGTAACAATGGAATGCCTATGGTTTAATGTCAAGTTTACCAATTACATCGAATGTCCTTTCCTCTAGGTTCTGTTCTGCCTCTTAATGAAATTGTGGCTTGGTCTCATGATGTTGGTGCAAAAGTTCTTGTTGATGCTTGTCAGAGTATTCCACACATGGTCATTGATGTGCAGAAACTCGATGCTGATTTTCTTGTTGCCTCTTCTCACAAGGTTTGTCTAACCTTTAACAAAGAATAAATTCTAGTTTTATCCTTAGGAAGTTATTGTTTGAAAGTCATAGTTGCATAACAGATGTGTGGACCTACCGGCATTGGTATCTTGTATGGAAAATGCAAAATTCTTGAAGAGATGCCTCCTTATTTAGGTAAGAAAATAATTCTGTGTCGCATAGGAAAAGTTTGCCCGTACCACTTGTTGGTTACCTACATATATTTGTGATGGAATTATTTTTAGGTGCTTGGATTATTCTAGAAGTTCTTATTGTTTACTGCCTTAACACTGTTGACTTTACGGATAGGTGGTGGTGAAATGATTGCTGATGTGTTTCAAGATTATTCTACTTTCGCTGATCCTCCTTCCAGGTCAGGGAAATACTTCCCTTGTACGTAACTGTACCAAAAATTGGTACTTTTTTTTTCCTTTTTTGGGTTAATTTGGGGCAAGTTTTGATGACTTTAACTTCAGGGTATTCGTCTAAAAAATGGGTGATCTTTAGGGTACTTATTCACTAGTAACTCTTCTTTCTTTAATATGCATATCTTTTATAGCTGAAAAGGATTATAGACCATCTGAAGTTCACAATTTAGAATCCCCAAGTTTATTGTCAATAATGACAACTGATTTGTATAGTTATTCGTACAAGTCGTGATCGGAAGACTACAATATAAAATATTTTCTTATGCAAGTATAGCTTAACCTGATAAAAGTGTTTGATCTGAATCTGGTACAGACCTCTTCGGGAGCTTAGGAGATCTTAACCATAAGGCCTAAGGTTACCCTAACTAAATATTAGCTACAACTACTAGGCCTGAAGGGGGAAGAGGAACAAAATACTCTAAGAGAGTCATTGATTCAATTCCTCTTATTTGGATTCAGGATCATTAAAATATGATCAAGTAATTTTAAATGAACATAGACAAGTTACCGTGTAAAATCACTCGTTTTGTAAATATGTATGGCAATATTTGATGTGTACATAATAAATTTATTTTTGCACGAAATAAACCAAAATTGTCAAAAATTATGAGTTATAACCCATGAAAATCGCAAAGATGAGGTACACATAATAAATCTGCATTCGTTTGAAATGATTGAAAATTGACAAATCGTGGATTGTACCTCATGAAAATTAGGAATTTTAATGTATACTTAATTTATTTATATTAGTTCAAAATGAGTCAAAATGTCAAAAATTGTGAGTCATAGCCTATAAAACCGCAAATTTTAATGTACACATAACAAATTTACTTTTGTTAGAAATAAACCAAAATAGACGAAATTCATGGGCTATATAGTTCATGAAAATCTCAAATTTTGATGTATGCATTTAGATGTATACTTAGTTTCTTTATATTAGTTCAAAATGAGTCAAAATTGTCAAAAATCGTGAGTCATAGCTCCTAAAACCACAAATTTTAATGTACACAACAAATTTACTTTTGTTTGAAATAAACCAAAAAAGACAAAATTCGTGGGCTATATAGTTCATGAAAATCACAAATTTTGATGTACTAGTTTTTATGGACGTGCAATGCACGTGATTAAATATCATAATTATTTTTTTGTTTATTTTTTACTATTACTCAGTTAGATTCATTTTGAGTTGAAATTAACCTTGATTATTGCATTTGCTATAATTTTTATTTAGACATTTTGAAAATTTTGATGGAACGGATCAATATAGTATTATATACTTAGATACATAACATCATTTTTTCAATTTGTACACATCAAACTTCATGTAAATGATCTCCAATTCGTTTATCTTAGTCATTAAATATAGTGTTAAATTTGAAGAAAAAATACAACAATTAAGCTGTTCTTGATGTGTTAAAAAAAAGATATAAATAAATTTCTACAATAAGAGCTTGATCCGAGGAAGAATATTGTACGTAAAAGTGAAATCCTAAATAGTAAGATGGTTTGTATGATTGTATAAGCTCGGCACAGAACACAAACTTTGCACCAGATCACAAGAGATATAAATAAAAAAAATTCTACAATGTATAATAAGATGATCCATTACATTTTGTTCCTAATTATTGATAGAATTAAAAAACATGAACTAAAGATTAATGGTAACTCTAGTATAATTTTATATGATAAAAGTATTAACTTAAGCATATAAAGATACTAAAATTTTACATGAAAATCCCTTCTAAAGATTCCTTCTTTACTCAAAAAATGAAGCTACTTTATAAAATATTCAAAGAATATCACAATTTGTAAAACTTTTAGGGTACTTTATGCAAATTACAAACTACTATAGGTCTATTTCTAATTCCCTTATTTTCAATGTATTGTTATTGAGGGTTTGGAATTGTGGTTTTTTTGGATTTTTTTTTTTGAATTTTGATAGTGATTTTGCAATTTTTGAAATTTTCAGTGAGCAGTGTAAATGTGTCTTTTGCAATTTTTGAAACTTTTAGTGTACTTTATACAAATTGTAAATTATTTATTGATCTCTATCTAATTCTCATATTTTTAGTGCACTATTAGGTTTAAATATCTTAGGGTTTTTTTAAAATATGAATTTTGATATTGTCTTTAAATTCTAAGGTTTTTTTTTGAATTTTTTTTGAAAATTTTGAAATTTTAGGGTGTCTTATGCAAATTACAAACTACTCATAGGTCTATTTTTAGTCCCCATACTTTCATTATACTATTATTGAGGGTTTGAAGTTCTAATGGTTTTTCGCGAACTTTTTTGAATTTTGGTGGTATTTTTGCAATTTCTCAAACTTTCAAGTATTTTCTCTTAATTATAAATATAGGAACTGTTTAAAATTCTTATTATAAGATAATTGTTAAGTTTTAAATTTCAAGGTGCCCTCATAAATCTATAATCTGTGAAGGAATTTTTGTTAGGATTTTCCAATTTCGAGGGTTTGTTTGACATCTCTGAAAATTTTAGAGTATTCTTTGCAAATTAAAAATTATTTAGTTTGTTATTTATAATGCTTATATTTCCAATATATTTTAGGTTTGCTATAGTCAAGGTCCTTTTATAAATTTCAACTTTAAGGGTTTTTTTTGCATTTTTGTAAACTTTTAGGGGTTTTTCTACCAATTAAAAATTATTTATGAGGCTATTTGTAATTCCTATATCTTCAATATAATGTTAGGTTTGAAATTCTTAAGGTTTTTTTAAAACTTATGAATTTTCAATGTTTAAAATTCTCGGGTTTTTTTGTAAATCTTCAATTTGAGTTTTTTTGCAATTTTTAAAAATTTTAGGATGCTTTATGTAAATTACAAACTATTCATGATTCTATTTTCAATTCTTATATTTTTAGTCTAATGCTATTAAGGGTTTGAATTGAAATTCTCATGATTTTTTGTGAATTTTTTATTTTCAAAATGTTATTCATAATTTTCGGGGTGTTTCTAAGAATTATAAATTTAGGAGCTATTTGAAATTCTTATGTAAAGATATCCTAGGAAGAATTTCCAACAAAGCAACTTGTTATTATATCATTGATTGTGCTTGATCTTTGTTGGATATTGTAGTAAATTTTCTAATTTCTATATCTTCAATGTAGGTTTGTAATTTAGGGTTTTTATAAAAAAAAATTATGAATTTTGAGTGTTTGAAACTTTAAGGGTTTTGTGAATCTTGAAATTTTGAGGTTTTCTTTTGTATTTTTAGAAATATTTAGGGTGCTTTATGCGAATTACAAACTATTTATGGGTCTATTTTTAATTTCATATTTTCAGTCTATTGTTACTGATGGTTTGAAATTCTCATATTTTTTTGTGATTTTTTAATTTTGGGGTGTCTTTTGTGATTTTTTTGAAAATTTTATGGTGTTTTCTACAAATTATAAATTTAAGAGCTATTTGTTATTCTTATATAAATATGGATTTCTTAGGAAGATATTTCCTCAAAGCAGCATCATTGATTATGCTCCGTCTTTGCTGAATACCGTAGTAGATTTTCTAGGAAGCTGGTGTCTTAAGATTTAGGATGAAGTAGTGTATTACGAGCTAATATCCATATCGTAAACTATTTGTGAATTGGTCGCGTGCAACTTGATCAGCAGTTTCCCCCTACACGTGTTCTTTTTTATGCGCATCACACGACCCAATCCCTTGGTGAAGCTAAAATTAGTGGATGTCAACTATCACACGCGTGTTGTTGCAGTTGTTTTAGTGTTACTTTAATTCAACTCTTTTTATCACACTCTATTCAAGGCTATGACAAAAGATGGACTTGTATACATATAAAGGTCACAATTTAATTTATTGCAACCAAATAAGGATAGACTTGTTTCTCTTAAATGCGGTAAAGATAATATCTTACTTGGACATTTTAGTTTATAATCGGTAAAAAATGAAATTGCAATTGAAATAATTAAGAAAATTATATTATTGATGAATATTGTCGTGACCCAACAATGTTTGATAACTAAAAAAGAAAAATAGATTTTAAGCAATGAGAGGAGCATGCATTTTGAAGGAGACGAAAGTGCTATCGAAATTGTGTAATTCTTGAGCTATATATATAGGCATGAGATGTTGCATGTGAGAGGAACAATTATAAATGGAGTTCTATTTGGATAAAAATTGCGTAATTTCTTAAAGTTTAAAATTGTTAATACCTAAGATTAGGAGAGGAGAAAGGAGGATGACCATTTATTTTTGAGATAATATAGGAGGATAACAATTATAAATAGAGTTTTATTTAGATAACAATTATAATTCAAATTTTAATTAAATAATTTAGATTTAGAGGGGTTTTGAGAGGATTAAAATTTTTAGGGTTTGTTTATTTAGGAATTAATATCCTTAAGTTGGTCTTATCTCTTACCAATCTCCAATCCACACGTTTTTAGTTTGTATTTCGAGTTTCATTTCCCATGGAAATTAATACTATCTATCTATTAACTAAAACCTATGTGTGCATGCATTTTTCCACAAGAAACCAAATACAATCTCTATCAAACAAAGAACAAATAAAGATTCAATACAAATATTGGCAGCGGAATAGTTTCATGTACCTTAAGGTTCTCAACATAGAGAGGATTTTGACCTTTGTTTCAAATTGTTGTTGATATCTTAATTTCCTTTCCCAACAAATCATGTAGCTAATTTTTTTTGGTAGAGGACATTGCATGAAGTAGGATAGAATTCAACATCAAATTTATAAATAGTATGGTTTAATTTCCTTATAGAAAAGCTGCATGTTTCAATCATACCAAATTACTTGAAGCATCTACTGCAATTTTCTTTTTTTTAATTGCAACTTTATTTATCCTTCCTAACTACAATGTCACTATCAAACATGAGAACTATAAATCTCACTGTAATATTACTTCTGCAACTCTTATCTTTATCCTAAATCAAACAAATCCTTAGAGTT